TGCTGCGGTACACGGCTGTATGCTGCGGTATACAACTGTGTGCTCTGTGCGCTGCGGTACACAGCTTTGTGCTACGGTACACGGCTGTGTGCTCTGTGTGCCGCGGTCATGGCTGTGTGCTCTGTGTGCTGCGGTACACGGCTGTGTGCTCTGTATGCTGCGGTACACGGCTGTGTGCTCTGTATGCTGCGATACACGGCTGTATGCTCTGTATGCTGCAGTGCACGGCTGTGTGCTCTGTATGCTGTGGTAACCGGCTGTGTGCTCTGTATGCTGCGGTACACGGCTGTGTGCTCTGTGTGCTGCGGTACACGGCTGTGTGCTCTGTGTGCTGCGGTACACGGCTGTGTGCTCTGTATGCTGCGGTACACGGCTGTGTGCTCTGTGTGCTGCGGTACACAGCTGTGTGCCCTGTATGCTGCGGTACACGGCTGTGTGCTCTGTGTGCTGCGGTATACAGCTGTGTGCTCTGTATGTTTGCGGTACACGGCTGTGTGGCTCTGTGTGCTGCGGTTATACAGCTGTGTGCTCTGTATGCTGCGGTACACGGCTGTGTGCTCTGTGTGCTGCGGTACACGGCTGCTGTGTGCTCTGTGTGCTGCGGTATACAGCTGTGTGCTCTGTATGCTGCGGTACACGGCTGTGTGCTCTGTGTGCTGCGGTTATACAGCTGTGTGCTCTGTATGCTGCGGTACACGCTGTGTGCTCTGTGTGCGCGGTACACGGCTGTGTGCTCTGTGTGCTGCGGTACACGGCTGTGTGCTCGTGTGCTGCGGTACACGGCTGTGGTGCTCTGTGTGCTGCGGTACCGGCTGTGTGCTCTGTATGCTGCGGTACACGGCTGTGTGAGCGGCGTGCCCAACACACGCGCAGACTTGTGCGGGACCACTGGTGGCAAATAGGAAATGAAGTATGTATCTGTGGTCTGTGGATCCACGTTTGCGTCGCTGCGGTAATCGTGACGACCGTAGGCGGAGAGTGGACCGCTGCTCACCCGGAACGCGGCTGAGCAAAAAGGGGGAACGCGGCTGCCGACCACGTCGTCAGTCGTGGATATTCAGTGGCGCGGCGCCGTGTCCGGCCTGCGCCGCCACCCGCCGCCATCCGCCGCCATCCGTCGGCGGTCGGCGTCCCCTTCCCGTCCCGCTCACCACCGGGCGCCGCTGGCCGGCAGACTTCGTGCAGCACCTGATGTCGGAGGACTGTCGCGGCGAGCTGCGGCGCGTGCGGCGCAGCTCAGCCTCGCCTCCGCCGCCGCCGGCGCCGGCGCTGGCTGACCTGCCCGACAGCGACGCCGACATTCAGTCGCCCTCCGCCTGCCTGATCGACCTCAAGGTCAGTTGGACGAACCCTGACTCCTCTTGTCTCATTTGTGGTGACCGAGCGTCGTAACTCGCCGTAGATGCGGTAACTCCATGTGTCGGAAGAGCTCCGTGCCGTTTCTGACCGGCCCGGTCCGTGTGGCAGGACACGCTGTGCGACGTGCTGTCGGGCGCGCGGAGCCCGAGCCAGGCCGAACTGGAGCGCCTGCTGGCCACGGTGGGCGCCGTCTACTCCCAGTGGGGCCGCCTGCTGCCAGCCACGGGCCAGGCCCTGCAGGACATGACCTTGGAGCTGACGCTGGCCATTGGTGAGTGACCTCGGAGCGTGCGGCACCCGGCACAGGTCGCCGTGTCCCCGGGTGGGATCAGCGGATGCGTGTCCATTGTGAGAGCTGTGATGTCGTTGCGTCATCCGTGTGGGAGCAGCCGTTGTGTCCCCTGCGCGTCGGTGATCACCGCGCCGCTTTCTCCCCGGTGTGGGAGCGCTCACCGTGCGCCCAGCGCCATGTGTCCAGTGTGTCCAGTGTGCGAGCGGCCGCTGCGTCTCCCGTGTGTGACCAGCCGCCGTGCCGTCAGTGTGCGAGCAGCCGGAGCTGGTGTCGCCGGAGCTGCGCGGCGCGCTACTGCGGAGCTGGGCGGCGCTGGCGCTGCAGCCGCTGGACCGCCTGCTGGCGGCGCCTCTCCGGCAGCGGCTGGCAGCCAGCGCCCGGCCAGCCGCCTCCGCCGCCCGTCTGCGCCAGCTGCTGAGCGCGCTGGGAGCCACGGCCGGTCAGCTGACCTCGCTGGAGCGGCCCACCGATCCGCCCAGCCCGGTGGGTGGGTGTCCCCCGTCCGTAGCTGGCCTCGCTGGAGCGGCCCGCCCATCCGCCCAGCACGGTGGGTGGGTGTCCCCCGTCCACAGCTGGCCTCGCTGAAGCGGCCCCCCGATCCACCCAGCCCGGTAGGTGGGTGTCCCCCGGCCTCGGCTGCACCCATTTGACGCTGTGGATGCCCCGGAAACCGCGCGCGCCGTTTGTCAAATGTTGCCATGGATTCTCTCGTGCCAAACGCCTACTATGTCAGTACATTTGGCTGCCACTCATTTTGTGGTGTGGTGTGGTTTCAGGGGTGGTGCAGTACGTGTTCTTCATATGCATGCGAATTGCACCGCTAAATGACCAATTTTGTCACGGGGCTCATGAGATGATTGTGTTTGTACACACGGGTTCGTCGTCATATTTCATGTTCTTAAAGCAGCGATTAGACTTACCACCGACAACGGACACTTTCGACGTACGCTGGGTTTCAATATTCGATAATGGTGGTGTGCCAGGGTGATTGTCGCGATGCGTGTTTGCACTGGCACTGCGCGTTCAGCTGGCGCCGCCGGTGCGTACCAGAGAGTGACACGGGACTGCTGGCTGGACCAGCGCGTCATCTGACGACAGGGGTGCTGCTCCGCAGGCGGTGGGACCGGGGACGCCTGAGGCGGCGGAGGACACCGGCCGTGTGGCGGGGACGCCTGAGACGGCTGAGGGCACCTGCCGTGTGGCGGGAACGCCTGAGGCGACGGAGGGACACCGGCCAGTGTGCCGGGGACGCCTGCGGCGGCGGAGTGCACCGGCCCAGCGCCTGAGGCGACGGAGGGCACCGGCCGTGTGCCGGGGACGCCTGCGGCGACGGAGGGCACCGGCCGGGTGTCGGCGCCCGGATGGGCGTTCCCTGATCTCGGACCGCCAACCGCGGCCGGCCAGCCCAGCTGACACGCTGGCGTGCGCCGGCTGGGGGACTGACTGCCGCCGGCGGAGAGGCCGTTTCCGTACCGGAGGTGCGGGCTTCGGGCCCGGGCGGCTGCTGGCAGATGGAGCTGCCGGCATTCCTGTCGTTCTTCAGGTGTCTTCCGCCTCGGCCTGCCTATGCCACGCTCAGGACCGACGTCAGGCGGATGTCGGGGTTGTGCTTCCACGCTATGGGTATGCCATATGGGCCGTGTTCTGTGCTGTGTGTCATGCTGTGATGTGTGCTCGCGTGCCATCGTCGATATTGGGACCCAGTGCTGATGTGGGCCACTGTCACGCGCTGCCGTACGCTCCCGAGGAGGACCCTCGGTGGCGGTGACGCTCGCCGCTGCAGAGCGCGCCATCGCCCGGTGGGAAAAGTAGCGCGCGAGCTAGCCGGAGCGCGCACCCTGACGGCTGTGAGCTGCGCTGTGTTGGTAGGCGCGCCGGAGACCGCTACAGGGTCGGTGGACCAGCCCGCTCGCGGCCGGCGGCGTCCTCGGAACGCTCGCTAGGCTCGCCATCGGCGCGACACGCGGGTCCTCCGACGCCTTATCTCGTCTCGTAAACGGCGCGTGCGCGTAGAGCAGGATAGCTCAGTCGCCTCAGGCCGGCGGCAGCGTTTATAGTGGCCAGCGGTAGGACACCGCGGCTTCCGAGAGTGTCAGGGTGTTCAGGTATGCGACGTTTTTTTTTTTTAACTGTCATGCTCCGCGGTGCGCTGCCCGTAGGCCAGCACATCTCGCTTTGATATCGCTGGATTTTTGAGACTTAACATTTTCTTTCAAGCAATAACATTTTTATTGCTTGATCTGCATCCTCAGTGTGATGGCAATCATGTTGCATGTTCTCCGAGACATCTTAATGGCTGGATTTCGTAAGCATTCTGCAGGGGCATTGATCTTGATGGACCTACGAAAATACAAAGCCGAGGCGCTGTCAGTCGTGTCTGAAGCACGGAATATATTTCACACCATTGATGTGCAGCAGACGCCACTCAGACACGGAGGCATGATACTGACGACATGGTGCAGCAATACGGGAAAAATGCTTACCGGTGGCCGCACGGCCTTCGAAGACCTTGAGAACTGTTATTTGCACCTAGGTACAGATACCCTGTTTTTCACAACGCTCGACATCACCACGGATTTAGCGCACTTCCCTTTCAAAGTTTTGGAGGGGAGCAGCCTAGGGTATTTGTATGCCGGGGGGCTGGCCCCCGTGCATATGGGCAAAAAGGGAATACCGGGCCAGCGAAATGCAGCAACCGTGTAATCGGTCGTACACCAGGCACCTATGTTCATCACCACCATTACGTTGACTTGAAGCAAAAACCTATTCTTCAGCACAGCTTTGGGACCAGCAATTTTTTTTAGTCTAATGGTGGCATCGAGTGCGCAACTCATCAGTCAAAACCGGGTAGAAATCAGGATTTGGGGCACGTTAGGCTAATTCAATATTTGGGGTGCGTTGGGCCGATTCAAGATTCAGGGTACGTTAAGTAAAATTTATTGGCTCCCCGACCGATTTCAGATACTGACGTCCCTGGATGAAGCGGAACTCCGAGATGGTATAGTCGGCCACACCTTGCATAACGCAATTTCCACCAATACCCCCGATCACATCGATCTAATAGTTGAAATGTGACCATAAAACTCGCCAAGTTGCTGAAAATCAAAGTGCCTTGTAGGGCCCGTACCAGTCGAGCCACCTGAAATACGATGACAAATTCGCCTTTGTATTACCATTGGTTTCTCAGGAGCGGGATGTACGAACATGATGCACTTCCTCCGCCTACACGATACTGGTCGCCTTTTTCGACGATTATTGTCTATTTCCAGCCGAGCTCCATCCTCACAGCCGAGCTACACATGGCCTCCAACGTAACCAAGACCTCAAAAGAAGACCTTTTGACATCAAGCAAGTCCAACATGGCACAAAGTTCGCAAAGCCTGAGCGACAATCTTTGTTCAACGATGCAAGTTCAAAGCTGTAATCGGGGGATATCTATGGCCGATTACGACAGTTTGTGACACAGTTATTTTCCTCGATAGACGCACTCCGCAGAATATTATCGGTGTGGGCGCCACTAGGGCGCACCATTGCACGTGCATTGGGCGCCGCATCAGAGATAACATTTTCTCGACTGGTTACGAACGCCCGTTGAGTGACTGAGGACGGTCGGCATGCTTTGCTCACATTCCCTGGGACGCGCACTAAGCCCGAACGCCGCTTCACCCGGGTCCCCGTACCCATCCTCGTCGCTGTCCGGCGACTCGCTGTCCTCGGACCTTTCGCGAGCTCTCTTCCGCGGTGGATACCTTATTTTCAACACCGACGCGTCACCGCCCCGCTTCGCTTCCTCCGTGAAGGGTAGCCTGCACTGTCGAGATGTTCCGGAGAGGTCGGCGGAGTTCAGCGGGCTCCTGGCCACGTCACTGGGCCGTTCCAACATGGTCCCTGCCACGTCATCGACGGCGCCCAGTGCGCGCTGGCACAGGCCGCAGTGAGGCCCCTCGTTCCCTTTGGTCAACATCGACCTGTACATTGCGTTCAGCTCAGGAGATTTCCGGCATCGCCACTTCACCGTCTCCATGCTCGGCAAGGGTATCTTCATCCGCCACCTGACGTGGTTCAGCACGTCTTCTGAGCCGATGGACCTCAGCTCCATCGTACGACGCATGTCCTCTTCGCTCCACAGAACTACCTTCCTGCGTTTTTCTTGAATTCTGGCCGAGAAGTCCCTCGTGATGCCCTTGATCTGCGCTTCGGTGAATATCCCCTGAATGCTTTTCTCAAGATGCAGAAGCTCTTTCAACCGTTTCCGTTTCACCACTTGCTCAAAACACCGCCTAGGGGTTGTCTGTGTCGAATTCGCTTTCACCACTTGCTCAGCACACTTCTTAGAATGTGTCAACTTATCCTTCAGGCCCCACTCCATCGGCTTCTTGACAATCCAGTCAAGAATAGCGGCCAGCATGGCCAGATTCTGAATCTTCAGGCGCTGGTTAACTTCCACAGCTTCCTGCAGGTCCGACGGCGTGTGCGCCATCATCTCGTCAGATAGCTCGTACTCCCTCAACATGCCAATGACATTGAGAGGCGACACCTCATCCCTCAGCACCACCAGAGGCTCGTCCCCCACTTCAGTAACGGCCTGTGAACTCCCGGACTCGCCGCTAGCAGCCACGTGACCCCTCCCGTTGACCCAGTCACATCCAGTGACGTCCCCAGCAGCCGAACCCGCGGCGTCGACGGACACAGGCAGACGGTCCGGTCCGCTGGCCGAAGGGTCGCTCATCAAACGCTTGCACTTTTCTTCCAGCCGCCGGATTTTCTGCTTCATCCGGAATATCTCCTTCATCCGCGTGACAAAGGAGCCTTCGTCTGCGGACAGAAGAGAAAATGCGATGATATGTGGTGTGCATTTTTGCAAATTTCGTGACACACACAGCCAAGTTTTTCAACGAAACGATAATTGTAATCGATTACCGTGTAGTCGTCACATCTTCTGTTTTTTGGCTGCGAGGTAATCAATATTTCCAGATTATTCCAATAAAAACAAATATTCGACGACATTCGCGACAATCGATTTGAGAACGCAGTTGTCAAATGGTCACTTGAAAGACCGTAAACCAAGCGAGGCTTACTTAAGCTGGAACAACACACAGCGGCCCTTACCGGCCGTGACGTTCTTGTGAAGTGAATATCCTTGCAACCACTCATCTTGCTTCCCCACAGTTTTCAGCAGCAAAAGGTTCACTTCATGACAGATTAAGTTGAGCCCCTTGAGGCCATTTTACGCCAATATTTCCGCATTGCAAAGCAACACGACCGCGGCTTGATGTTCGTTAAATAATATGCGAATATCCACGTTGAAAAACATGGAGAACATGTACAACACGGTGAGGCGGCCGGACCTGACAAAATATATGGTAGAGTGCTGAATGAATGTGCTAGCACTTGAGTTTATGCTCGTAATTTAATATCCAATAGGTCATTAAGCTTCTGAGTTTTGCCCGAGGTCATGCACCATGCCAATTTAGTGCCGATATTTACGAAAGAGACCGAAAAAGTCAGCAACTACAGTTCTGTCAGTCTAGCGAGAAATGCATGCAAGATCTTAGAAAAATTAATTAAGGCAAGTATTAAGTCACACCCAGAAAGGCACCAGCTAAAACACAGTAGTCCGTGTGGTTTTCCTTCTGGTAGGCCCTGTTAGACAAATCTTCTAGAGTTATGGAACATGTGGCTAGTGAGATAGATAAAGTCAGTAATTGAAATCTTGTTAATCTCGATTTTAGTAAGGCGTTTGGTTAGATGCCACACCAGCATCTGCCATACCAGTTAAAATTGTATCGCATTGAGGGAAAATCTTGCCTGAATAAGGGCTTCACTGCTAGACAGGAAACAAAAGAGTTGTGCTCAGTGGTGCAAAATCTCAGCAGGAGCTAGTAGAGAGTGGGATCCCACACGGGTCGGGGTTGGTCTCCTCGCTCTTTGTTATTTTTGTGAGTAATATTGAGATAGGGACTTAAGAGTAATGTAGTAAAATTTGGTGGCAACATTAAATTGGCAGGGATGTTGAAAAATACCGACCAGGTGAGCGAAATTCAGCATGACTTAGAGAACCTAGTGAACTGGGCTTCTCCGTGACAGGTGCCATTCAATCATGATAAGTGTAAGGCGACGCATTTGGGTAGTTTTAACAATAAGGACATTATCTTTAGAATGGAAAGCCGGAAGTTAGACCAGATGGAGGAAGAAAATGACTTAGGGGTTATAATTTCCCGGAATTGAAAACCTGAAAAGCAATACGGGACTGCTAGAAGCAGGTTGTTGGGACGGGAATATCAATCACAAGACTGAAGATATTGTCAATGTCAAAGACTGGATGTTAGGATTTATAACAGAAATGTCAATCACAAGATTGAAGATATTGTCAAAACGTTGTATTTGGCTTATGTCTGACCACATCCAGAATATTGTGCACAGGCTTGTCTTGCTAGTTAAAATAAGACCACCAAAAAATAGCATATATAGCAAGATTAGCAAAAATAGCATATATATAGCCCATTAAGATTGAGCTCGGCGAAAAGAAAAGAGGCAGTGCAACTATGACGAGCAAATGGCCGCAACATTACAAGGATACCACGCACCTTTGGACGCCCTTGCATTCAGAGCAGTCTCGTTCGCAGACACCTGGTGGTCGCGCTCTGGCTTTGCTTGGAAATGGGTCCACCACATCATTCAGAATCATCAGATGATCGTCGAGGGTTTCCATCGGCACGTCTACCGCATATGGAATCCCGATCTCCGCCGTTTCGCAGCCACCCTCACTGTTCTGGGCATGGTCGTGCAGGTCATCAAACTGCACGCCTTCCACATCGAACTCATCCCGGCCCAGCGGGCCGGTGCAAGACCTCTTCGCGGGTTTCTGGTGCGCGCGGCTGACTTCGGCCAGCGCCGTTCCCTCAGATCCGCCGTCTTCGTCACCACCAGACTTCGACGGGTGCACTTTATCCGGCTTCATAAGTGCGACACCATATTTCTTTCTGTGAGCGGAAAGAGATCTGGTGCACCTCTGACCCCCGGTGTATGTTTCCAACCTCCGTGGAGACCGGGCGTTCTTTGCAGGCGCCGCATTTCTGTCTCTCTGGCGTCCTTGGGTCTTTTGTACTTCTTTGGTAAGAGCATGCCTATTTCTGAAATAACACACAAACCGATAGCAGTGAATGTTTATCCAAGGACAATCATGGCTATGTACAAGCTTTGTAAGGCTACTAAACATTCTGCAAAGTCAAATTCAAAACTAGTCATTGCTTGCTGCCTGTGGATTGATGATTGCGAATTGATTGGCAGCAAACCACCCTATGGTTTGGTTGGATTTAATGTTGTCCATCCTACACATGATGCCTGGCATCGCATGCTTTTGCTGATCAGTCACATTATGAGACCTACAAATGCTGTGAGAATATATGATAAGGCTCACGAATTTCTAGCATAGCGTCATTAACGCTTGAATGCTGCGAGAATACATGACATGGCTCAAGGATTACTAGCATAGCGTCATTAATCCTTGGATGCTGCAAGAATGCATGATATGGCTCCAGGATTACTAGAACAGCGTCATTAACGCTTGAATGCTACGAGAATGTATGATATGACTCCAGGAGTACTAGCATAGCGTCATTAACGCTTGAATGCTGCGAGAATGCATGCTATGGCTCCAGGATTACTAGCATAGCGTCATTAACGTTTGAATGCTGCGAGAATGCATGACATGGCTCCAGGATTACTAGCAAAGCGTCATTAACGTTCGAATGCTGCGAGAATGCATAGTATGGCGCAACGATTACAAACGCATGCTAAAAATGCTTGGCTTTCATCACAATTTATTGAGCGCAATTTTTCCGTTTCAAGAGGACCACGGCGGAGTCAAGTCACTGACGTTTTGGCAAATAACTTTTTTATGTGCGAATCAACCATTCAAGCCCCATGAACACAGGTCTCAAGTGGGTATTGATAACATAGATCCCAGAGATGGAAACCGCGATTGTATCCTGAAGGCAGCCGCCGCTGCTCATAGATGCCGGGTGTGAAATTCGGCCGCCGCCACCATGATTTCCAGCCAGAGCCAGACGCCCAAGCTCACCCACTGCTAGCCGCCGATGGTAAAACAGTTCTGTAGCGCCTGAGTACCATCCCAGCGAGAAGTTACCATCAACAAGATGATCACGTGAAAGCTGACACGCACCGCAATGCACCTCGGCTGCAGGAAGGGCAAAATGTTCATGTGAGCAGAAGAAATGCTGATGTGAGAGGAAGAAGTGACGAAGGAGATGAGTTTTACAACGCGTCGACCGCCAATAGTCACAAAGGAGGAATGGTGCAAATACAACTCTTCACAAGTTTTGAAGCAAGCAACTCAGCACTGTTCTCTTCCAGCACATGTCCAAAGTGAGACGGTTTTTTGTCATGCGCAAGAGGCACAACGCCGTGCAGTTGTTCTGACACACAAAGCACCATGGTACACCACATTGTGATATCTAAGATCTCAACCCAAATGATGAGTCAGTTGAAAAATGGTGAGATTCCTGAATGTTGCATGAAGGTGTACCTCTACTAAGCCTTGCTAATGCGTAAAGCATGAATACCCGGCTAGTGCTGTTGCCAAGAGGACAATCCTGTCAATCTCTCAAACACAATGCACATGGCACACATGCACAAGTGAACAAACAGGTGAGCTTCTCACCGACGTGAGGAAGAAGCGCCGACCCGAACAGTCTGTGTAGCACCCAGATAGCTGTCACAGGACGTCTTAGTCTTACACCGCTGCCTGTCCTTCCTGGAAAACCCCACAAACAAACTAAGTGAACATCTCTGACCACTTGGTTCTATACTGCTGCCTGTCCTTCCTGTAAAACCCCATAAACAACACAAATTGAACACCTCTGACCAATTTAGCATGGCTGGTTTCAACCTGGTGAAAACCAAATGTGCAAAGCAGTGCAATATCTTGTGAGGGATTCTGGAAAGCATCTAAGGGAGAGCATGGAAAATGTGAATTAGTGAGGCAGCACAGAATGTCAATGAATACAATACAGATGTCAGTATGCTTTCATGATAAGGGGGCCCATTTTGGGTGGTTTAACCACCTGTGAAGCTGCATATCTCATTGATCCTTATATCTGCCAAGCATCTTATATTCAGGTGAAGCAGAGTGTAGGTGGCAGCAGTTGGTAGCACCCTCCTGTTTACATATCAAGCATTCTACTAAAGCTACAAGTCCATCTCCAATTACAGGGATTCATGACCTACCACCAGCACTGGTCAAACACCTGAGCATGAACCTGTAAGGCTTATCAGAACCAAATGCCATTCAGTGCACACATAGTATAGTTTCACAAAAAGATTGGAGGGAGGGGGGGGGGGGCAGACCAGTCAAAGTCATCAAGCTACATCCAAAATGCTAACAAATAGGCTTCCCATGGTTTTGGCCTACATGATTCCAAGTTGGGGGAAAGGGCATAAAGCCTCCCTTACTGAACTGGATATTTTACCCATGTTTCTTAGAATGCATACAAAACATTTTGTCAGCAAATATAAGGAATAGAATGATCCCCATTCAAGCCACAAAGACTTGTCCACCACATCATCACACAACTAAGAGGAGCTGAAGTCAAGTGCCTTTTGTTTGGCATTCCAAAGATGTCTTCCAACCCTTTTAAATGTTAGGCCTTACCTATCACAATCAAGTCACAAAAGAAAAGCCTAGCAGGCCACCAGCAAAGACTTGCATTTTTGCATCATTTATAATACTGGCATTCTATAAGTAGTTCATCTTTTAAGAATACTGAACATTGCACTTATGGAAGCCAAACTCAGGCCAGCCAAA